GCTCCTGATGTATGTCTTAGTGACTGCTGTTTGTTTTTAGGATGTGATCTGGTTTTTCATGTACATTTTTCGTGATTATGACTATTCTGGATAAAGAATGTTTTGAGCAGAGGTGGATTCAAGGCCCCACCCCCCTTCATTTTTTTAAGGAAAAAAAAAGAAAAATATATTCAAATTGAAGTGCGAGAGTATATTCAAATTGAAGTGCGAGAGTGTAATTTCCGGCCATCTAGAGATGCCCTAATCATAAATTTTCCCAACCATGGTGGGGCTGAGGTGGGTGGTTCCTCGGTCTGTGAAAGTCCCTCCCTGGTTCACCTCTCTTTCGAATTCCTGGATCTGCCACTGTTGATTTATTATATAATTATTTTTGCGCTTATTTATAATGCGTCTATTGCAATTTTCACTTTATCTTCTCAAACAGTCCTAAGAACGTTCAGAGTGCGCTACTTCAGAGGGGATTTGCCGGCCCCCTTGACCCCGCCGGGGTCATACGTAATTCGCATAACGGCCCAATCGTCTGTCCCCGAAGTTTTCATTACGATGACCAAGAACGTATACTATCTAGGCCCTAGGCTAGGCTTAGATTGCTCATCCTGCTACGATACTACGGTACTACCGCATAACAAAGAAAGCGTCCCACGCGGTGCATTCTTAAATTCTACACACATTATTAAAATGTATTAGACAACACGATATCACTGACTGAACGATTACCACCCTCGCATCCAGTAACTACTGTACTGAACTAGGCCTAATGTTTTTGTGGAAAGTTAGATAGTCGTTATGTACCCGACAGTCGGCTGCCTTTATATCTTCACTTGTCTTCAATTTGCATTCAAAGGGTACATTTCTGCATAGCTAACTGTCGGGGATATAGTACCTTCATATGACTACTCATACAATAGAAATAAAGACGTCGCATGGAGTTAGCGGAAAAATTGAGATCAAAAACGATGTATTTCAGCAAGTATTAAAAGCTTTTTGTTTTATTTTAGGCCTTCTTCAAAATACCTATGCCACAGCAGTTGACTTTTTTGCCGTAAAATCAAAAAAGTTTCATCCATACCAACTTGCAGATCGGTTGATCGGTTAGCGTGAGCCCTGACTGAACTCTGCAGAGTGCAGAAACTTCACATCGAACTTCGCATCGCGAGGTAAAACAAAATGTCAGAAAACTTTTCTTTGACGCATGCGCATTTGCATAAATGTCTACACACACACACGCACACACATACTACACACAATAACAAAACAAAGGAAAAACAGAAGAGTGATTACAATAGTTCCTATTGCATTACATGCATAGGAACTAAAAGTATATGATTAGCAGTTAATCGAAAGAAACAGAATTCAAAAGTTTCTTAAAGAATTTGATTTAGAAAAATAGAGCGGATTTTTTTTCCTAATTATTAATATATATATTTATTTGTATACAATATCGACCAAGTATAACAACAATAAAAATAAACACATAAAATAAAGAAACAGATGAATTAGTTAATCTAATATAAACATTTTTCATATTGCGATTTATAATCACTATATTATATCTTCTGCGTCCAGCACTCCGTCATAAGGTCACATGGAGTTTACCACTTTCAAGCGCTACTGTGTAGGCACACTATACCACAACACGGCTCGTCGTCTGTAGGGCAATATTTTTCAGAGTATCCTCGGGAAGTTTAATATTGGTATTCCCGTATTTTTTTTATTTGTAAAAGCGGGACAATTCGGGGGGATGGGCGGGACAGTTAAGGAACCTATGACTTTTTATCTTAAATACATTATGCCTATGTAAATTAAAATAAATATAGCTTATTCTTCTGAGCGAAATTATTTGGGCAAGTAACATCACATGGAATTATTAGTAAAAAAAAAATCACTCAAAATTAATTTCATTGATCCATGTTCTCCGATTTTTTAACTACCCCAGCAGGTTTTAATAACGCAGTCTTTTCGGTTTTAGTGATCAAGCAATTATAAGAATGGAATAGGAAATGAAAGAATCTATAAGTAGGGAAAGATGGAAGGAAATACAAACAAAAGAGAAAGAAAAATAAAAGGCTTTGGGATGGAAAGGAAAGTAATATGCTATGAAATGATAAGAAAGTAACACGCTATGAAAGAATCTCTAAGAATTGCTGTGTTATTGGCCGAGTTGAATAAATCGTTACAATACCAAAGTATTGTAATACTTATTGATAATCATTACACTAATTTTTAAACTAAATTATAAACTAAGCCCAAGATATTGGATAAACAATGAACGGTATATTTGTACATTTGTTGTGGTTTATTTCCTTCTCTATGTTGCTGTTAAGCGCCTCGAGGTTGTTACAAGGCGAGGCGCTATATAAATCCAGAATAAATTATTATTAATATTAAAAATTATTCTTAGATAATAAAGAAACACAACACATCTGCTCGAACACATTTTTGCCCTTTGCTTCATGACTCATGACTCGTCGTTAAGGCGGTAATTATAATCATCTGGTATGCCTACAAAATGCTGTACACGCCCCCGTATCAAGAAAATGATTACTAAAATTATGAAATCTGATTTCCATGATTCAGTACAGTAACTGTATATATACAGTTGTTTTAACGTTATTTTGAAATAAAGCATTGATTTAACGTATAAATCAATAAATACATATAAATATACTTAAATGTTGTGATTAATTTTCTTCACCATGTATTATGCTGTGTTTGTTTTTTAGGAGCAACATATTTTTATGAAGAACATATCTTACAACAGATCAATGTATTACCACAGGCTTTAGAATAGTTTTTCTTTATATACATTTTTACATTCAACAAGTGGAGTAGAGTTGAACAGCTTAGTGGTTCAGATGCTTGCTTGCCTTCCAATTCCACGATCCTGTCACGGTAACAGGTTTTACAAGAAAAAAATGCACTCCCTCTCATAATGGAACTTAGTTTATGTAGAGAATCTTTTGTTTATGTTTGTCTTGTGAAGTGATGCCACATAGAATAGTGATGAAGTTCACTGCTTGGCATATCCTCGACCTTCAGCCTAACCCCAAAAAGAAAAGAACAAACTTAATGATAAAATGTACCAGAATCAAGTAATTTTGCACCATTTTATTTGAGTTGAATATCAGTATCATTTTCATTCATATATTCTTCACCCCAAAACTAATAGAGATAATTCATAACATGATTCAAAAAGTTAATTTTCACTTTTGATGCATTTATATAATTCCTACACCTTGGTCTCATTCACATTTCCTCCATTCCAAATCTACACTACCAGTCTGCAGTGGTGTATCTAGGAGTCTTCAATTTGAGCCACAAGGGGGTTTGATGATTAGGTGAAAGGCACTAGCTCGCAAAATAAGGTAATTTTAGTTGATTTTTAACTACTTGAAAAAATAATTATAAGTATTTTGCACATAAATTAGATTAGATAGATTCTAAAATTGATTAAATAAGCTTTTGAAACCCCTAAATCGTAAAAGTTTTTTTTTGGGGGGGGGGGAACATCGGGGCCCCCCGTCTGGGACCTCAGCCCCCCTATTGGGCAAATCCTGGCACCACCCCTAATCCACATGCTTAAGTGTTGCTGCCATATTGGCGCAGTAGCAGGCAACCCCACCAAGTACCCATTTATACTCCTGGTTGGAGAGAAGCAACGCAGGTAAAGTGCCTTGCTCAAGGAAACCAAATCATTTCCGCTGGGCCAAACTGCTTCTCTGATACTAGCCAGTTATTATCCATCTTTTATTCACAATGTAATTGAGCATTATACTGATGTTGCATTCTATAACATAACAACTCAGTTACCATTGATTGAATCTTCAGTCAAGGCCAAGTCAATCAATATTAAGTATATTTATAAAATCTAAGTAAAAAATTTAAACGTAAATGCTGATTGCTCCCAGAAATGTAAGTGTTTAAAAAGTCCATAAATCAATTAAACTTAAATGTATACTATGAGCACTAATATTTTATACAGAGATTGATCCGTCTCTGAAGTTGGTCCTGCCAATAAGACAATTAATAAGTACAGGTTTGCCCTCTCTGCATTCCTTCTGTGCAGTTTGTAGTGTCTTCAGTACATCTTCGCCCTCTTCTCCACACAATTTTAGACCACTTCCACCATAACCCTTGGCAACAATGTGGTAATCGCAGAACTATGAAAAAAATAATAACATTATTATTAAGATGATCAAATAACTTATTCCCTATATTATTATTATTATAATTATCATTATTATTATTATTAATATTAGGCTAAATAAAATAAACTTTTAGTTTTATGTCAGTGACATTATTATATTATTATTATTATTATTATTATTATTATTATTATCATCATCATTAAAAATATAACTTATGTTGACAAAAAAAATTATTAGAAAATTAAATACAGTAGAACCCCTCATTTACGTACGGCACGGGCCCAGAGCCATTTGTAAATTCGGATATTCGTAAAATCGGGGTTGACCCAAATTCCTATATATTTGCACTGGTACTACTTACACTGGCATAAACTAGGCCTAGGCTAGGCCTACAGGCTTACGCAGCTAAGTCTGAGGGGCCTAGGCCTACAGTTGGCAGCTTCTAAGCATTCTGATCCCACTCTAGGCCCTGCACAAATTTGTTTTTATCGGACATTTTTACCTTCTTAAATACCTAGATTGTGGATTTTATTCCAACACAACTTCCATAGATACTTGTTTATTATATATATTGATCATTCAATAAAACAATCAAGCACTATGTTGAATTTTAAAGCTGAAAACGATGTTTGAAAGAGAAGTAAAATTTGTCGCATGCACATGTGTGAAGCCATAAAAAACACTGACTTTGAAGAGGCCCTCTCCTTCACTTGAGAATTACATAGTACTGTATAGTATGGTGTGTTGTGTTGTATGCATGCTAATAACAGGCACAATTCGAGCAGGTTTTTTTTTTTTTAATCTTTCGCTTCAATTTTTATGACGTCATCACCTTTATGTTACGTTCGTAAAATCGGGAATTCGTAAAATCGGGGTTCGTAAATGAGGGGTTCTACTGTACAAAAAATAATTTCAGAGAAAACCCTCCATATGCATAGTGATATGCCTCTGATATGCATACATTACCCTAATAAAAGCATAATTACTCTCTATAGCCTATGCATACAACACCTCATTCTTATGCATTTAATACTAATATGAATACCGTAAAACCTTGAATTGAAGCCCAATGGGCTTAATCTCGAGAAGAAGCCCATCTCAAATTGAAGCTAGATTAGATTACATTAAAGTTTGCAAAAAAAGAAACCAAAATCTTTAATTCAAGGTTTTACAATGCTATATTACCCTCATATATATGCATAAGTTTAGTCAGAAATCATCTCATTACATATTTTTGAAATCAATGTTTTATGTTGGTTATTGCTGTGTTGTGTACCGTCACATTTTAGTTGGCTAATAGTTTGTATTTATACATGGATAAAAACTACCAACTTGTGTACTTACAGCAAGATCACATCCGACCCTTGACCCTAGCATAGGTTCCTGTTCTCTTACAATTTGCGTCCAACATGCATCATTGCCTACCACCGCTATAACAGGGCATTTATGACGAGTGAACGTATCAAATTCAGCTACACTGTAACCAAGAGACCCATCTCCATATATGATCCACACCTCGGCATCAGGCCTGACTAGCTTAGCACCCAAGGCAAATCCACCTCCAACTCCTAAAGTACCAAATGCACCTGGGTCAAGCCAGCACATTGGTTCCCTTGGCCTAGAAAACAAACAAAATTGTTGTTCTATTACAAATAACTAAACACAAATTAAATGTCCCTATAAAATATAGTATATAGAAATATGATGTAAAATTTGAAGTATCGTGATAAATAGATTGAATCAGATAATGCAAAATATAGAAATACATTAACAATAAAAAATATTAGGAAATATGCATTTTACACAATCCATTGACAAAAATGGCAAAGCTGAAACATATGATTTGCTGCTAAGGTAGAAGCTATTTAGTATTTTTTTTTTTTTTTAGATGACACCCTCAGTTTTGATTAAGGTTTACTTGTGAATGTCACTTGACGTCAGGCAGACAACGTAGCGAGGCTTCGATAGGTCCTGTCTTGGTATTGTTACAAAACATCGGGTTGAACAACAGTTGGTAAGAGATATCAAGACATATTTACCGTACTATATTAGAAATTATACTTTTAGTGTTTACATGATTACATTAATTTAGTCTTGCATTATTATTTGACCAGAAAGAGTAATATTTATTTGACAGGATAGGCTTTGCCCTATGTTTATATGCATACAGTACTCTGGGTGTATATGCTTGCGAGCTAGATGCTCGCGCATATAGAGGAGTGGCGTCCTTGTTGGAGGCAATGCGTATGTTAAGAGACTTGTTTGCATTTTTTATCATAACGTACTATATGGGTTGTATTGGGTATACAGTTTATAATACAGTACAGGCATTAGGCTTATGAGTACTGTAATTAGAAATTAAATAAATAATATGTGATTATCTACGGATTAATAATTATAAGTGTTATTATTTATGAGCTGATTATATTTTGATTCATTGTTATTGATTATTTCAGTGAACGAATTCATGACTAATGAAATCGTCGCTCACATCACGAACTAACACAATTAAATTCAATTGTGTTAGTTCATGAAATCAAATAAGCGTGTCAAAATACGTGCTGTTGTTGTTAGGGACTTTTTGTGTGGTAAAGAATACAAAATTACTTGACAACCAATAGGCGCTCGTTTTGACGCGCTACTGTGATTTCACGAACTAGCACAATCTATTTTGATTGTGTTAGTTCGTGATGTGATCGACGAAATAATAAAAACCAAGGCAATTCAACAAAAGGATACACATCTCCGCTCTCGAACATAGCTTGCGCGTAGTCCTTTTGTGGCATCAACAATCCGATAGTAATTAGTACGAGTACAGCCGTTAATTATTAGTCTATGTGTGCCATACGTTTTATGGTGTTAGTTACTATTTCATTAATTTTGGGTAATTCGCAATGTGTGTTACATCTGATTTCTTTTGACCACAAGCTTGTTAAATGCTTCTATGAACTACAACTTGGTTTGTGAAAATTGACCAACAAAATAAAAAGTTATAGCCATTATAAATTTACAATTTTTATAAAATTTCATGTTCTTATATAACATTAAACGGTCATTTTGACAATGTTGGACTAAGGTGCACGATACGAACATTTGAGTAGATACAGAAAATTTATTTATTTGTCTCATGAACGACAATACACCACAACATCGGTAAAATTAATGTTGAAATAAAGAATATAATCTCAGTCTAATGTTAGTGCAAAATATCATATGCCTTTGTAATCACCGCACGACGCACGATTATCATGGCAACTAACACGTGGGTAATTCGTCATATGCTAACAGTTTGGTTGCTATGGTTTTTGTGATGATCAGCATGTAGGGGCGCACAGCATGTAGAATGTCGATGTCAGAGTTATATCCTTTGATATCCCTAGATGTGCGTCCTTTTGTTAAATTGCCTTGATAAAAACCAAGTTTGAATAGTGAGTCTGGAATGAAATAAGTAGTGCTGATTATAAATACACACGTAATTATGAATACTCCCCAGGGAGTGGAGGCTGTTGCAAGTTGTGTATGATTGATTCTGTATGCAATGACCAGGGGAAATAGTGCCTTGAGCAGCCTTCTGGATATGTGCACTTTATAAATCCTATTAAATAAATAAATAAAGTGATACTGATGATTATGAGTAAAATGGCTACCTGACAATGTAAGCAGCACTTCCAACAAAGTCGCCACCATCAGCTACTAAGATACTGTTGTCATCAAGTGTTGACTCTACATGGTAGAGTACTTGAAGAGGATTTAAGAATTTGTTAACTGCTTCTGTAGCTTTTTTTCTAAAAAAATATAAAGAAAGTAATATTTAAGTACAATTCTCATGATTATCCATTAGTTGCAAAATTTGGCAGAATGCAAAAAAATCTGATGAAATAAATCAAACGTTAAACAAAAACAAATGACACAGAAAAATGTATATTCTTTAATTATTAATATTATGTATCATTAATTTCTTTTGAAATGGTTTCTACATTTATAATATTGATATTTTGTTTTCATGTTGCTGCTAGTATCGTTGTCATCTTTGCAACTGTTTTCACCATCACTACCGTACCTTCATCATTGTTAAGTATTATAATACTCCATTTTGAAATCATATTAAATCAACAAAATTAATATTTGTCTGAGTATGATTTTGGATGTGAAGAAAAAAAAACTAATAAATAAATAAATATTAAGATAATACATATTATTATGATCAAGATTATTTCCTTGCCTATTTGCTTCTTCCTTTTCCTCATCCTTTGATTTCAGCGACTTGACCCACTCCTCGTCGCACTTAAATTTCTTCAGACCCTTCTGTAGGGACACCAAGAAGCTACCTACGTCAGCTTGGACAGCAAGGCTGGGTTTCCAGAATGCATCCGTATTCTACAAGTAAAATCACAAACTACCCTTTACAATACCTTCTTGTTCAAGCCAAAAAACTGAGGGTCCCTATCTAAAAGGATACTGCTGGTCAAATAAGCAAGAATGTGGGCAAATATCTCCTTGTTTGTGGTGAAATTAAATCATAACAGCCTTTAGAGGTTACAGTAAAAAATTGCAGCTAGAAACTACTAACAAATTTAAAAGATTCCAAAGACTTGCTTGTTGTATAGTATACCTAAAAATAGAAAGACTTACGCACATAACAATTAAAGGAAATCATGATTTCCAATTCCATTCCATGCACTAATTAACCAATTGTGCATGATTTGTTTGGAGTTCTATGCATCTAACAACAAAGCTCCCATTTTGTTTTGACCATGCAATAGTTACAATCTTTATATTTAATATTAATTAGGATTAAATCAACCATACCTTGTAAAGCTGCTCCTTATTCCTATTCACTGCAATAATTTTTGATTTACGACTTAAATGACGTCCGTAGTTCAAACGAAAATCTGGTACAGCACCTGTGAATTACAAAAATAACTGAAATTACTTTAATTATCAAAGGTTCTTCTGCCTTTTACTACAAAAATACTTTTGGTTTTAAATCAAATAAAAATTCAGTATGCATTTTGATAAATATCACAAGAATAAAACCATACCAGCTAAGACTACAACATCTGCCTCCCGCAGTGCATCTCGTCGTTTTTGTCGTATATGGATAGCACTATTTCTTCCCAGCATACCACGGGACATTCCTCCTAAGAAACATGGTATTCCCATTGCCTGCAATACAATTTTTTGAAGGATTTATACTCCAGATTTACTTATTTATTGAATATAAATATTTATAGCTAAACAGTACGGCACATTACCTCTAAAGATTTTCTAATCTCATCGGCTGGCGTTGGGGGCAGTGTTGCTTGGCTTCCAAGTACTAGCACTGGCTTCTTAGCTCGGCTTAGAATCTCAATGGCTTCTTGCACTAAATATAAAAATAGCAAAAACATTGTGGAACAAACATTGAGTACTTATTTATTTATTAAAAATTTGACACAAAAATCATAAAGTGTCAATGAGGAAACCATGGGCTGAAAGCCCAACCCTAAAAGTGGGTACCTCTTCAGAAATATACATAATACAGTTTAATATACTGTATAACACCATTAAAATAATATTAAATCTAAAAACTGATATAACATCAGAATAGAAAAAAAAACACATCCAGAATCACAAAAACAATTTTAAAGAACTAGGTCACAATATATAAATCATGTCTTACACACCTAAATAGATCCTTGTCATTTGATTGGTGGATTTCGTATAATGTGTGACATTGGTTATTGACACCACTTTATCACTCATTATGGGAATTTAGTTCCACTGTGCATTTTTAGGTCCATCCATGCATTTTTCCCCAATTTTTTTACTCAATCGCACACCACAACATAATATATATTTTTCATTTGTTAAAAAGATGTTGGACTGTTCCATTCATATAAAAGGTAGATTATTTTCATAAAAGATCAAATGACAAGAACCTATTTTAGGTGTTTTAATAAAACAAATAATGAATGTTTTTTATTTGAATAATGGAAAGAATATTTTTATTTCATTGAAAGATTGTCAAAATGAACTCGGCTCCGCCTCATTGAATGGAACAGTTAATCTTTCAACTCATGAAAATATTTTTCCCATTGCACTCATAAACATTCATTATCAAGTAAGGTGAGATTAACTTTTTAGAAATGCAAAAGAACTCTTCAAGCTGTCAGGTAGAACATTCCAGAGCCCTACTGCTTCCACATATACAGATTTTTTTTTTTTTAACTCGCGCTCAAGTCTGAAATAGCAACCTCTGTTTAGGTTTAACTTTTATAAGCCGGGCTTTAATCGTTGCAGGAGGTCTAGCATTGACTATACGTTTTGCGAGCAATCTTTTGAAACACGTTTCCTGGTCACGGTTCATTATTATGCAAATACTCGCGCCTCCTGGCTAATCCCACTAGTCTGAATGCCTGGCAAAGTTAAGCCCGGCTTAACTTTGATCCGGGCTTGACTCAAGCCTGACACTTATAATGCAAGACTGAACATAGCCTCAAACTACCAAGCTACATATCGACTACAGTTCTTATTTCCTTCTGATATAACTTGAAAAACTTTAGAATGACCTCTGTATGTCATAATAGTTTTAGACTTGTGAATAATAATAATAATAATAATACATAGAATACATAGTAAAACTGAATGGAACATACCTTGTAAATATGAAGCAAGGGGTAGATGCACGGGCAAAGGTGTAACGTCTTGTTCTTCAAAGGCACCAGCAAACATGTTTGATACATAATTTTTCAGGTACCTAGAATATAATAAAAAAAACACAAATGTCTTCCAATTTTAGGCAAGCTTGTTTTGTCCACCCCAAAAACTACCAATCCAAACTAGTCTCAATCAACAACAACCAACTAATACCACCCTGCCTCAATCAAACCCAACCAACCTTAAACAATCAGTGGCAGATAAAAGGTGAAAGTGGAGGGGCTGAAGGCTGGCACTCCCTAAATTTTACAAATTCTTTTTTTTAAATGGTGATAAAAATAAAATTATATTCAAATCTAAGGGTGCGATTTCCAACCATTTCGAGGTTCCATAAACATTAATTGTTTTTAACCTCAGCCTCAAACATGATGGCCTGAGGTGGTATAGACCCTCCATCTGTGCAAGTCACTCCCTGGTCCCCCTCTATTTCAAATTCAGAGTGGCATATCTAAAATATTGACTTGGGGAGGCTGATAGGGAGAGAGGCTTGATGCTTAAGGGAGGAAGTGCTAGTAATTTTAATTAGTGAGAATTTTTATTTGCTTAGCAAATTTCTGGTGGGGTCCCACAGATACACCACTGAAATTAATGCTTACCATGACAGGATACTGTTGACTAGGCCACCCTTGGAGCCACCTCCACCTACAACCTCTTTCTGAACAGACTTGTAGGAATACAGGGTGTCTATGGGTAGCTCAACAAAAACTGGGCCTAAATGAAACAGGAAAGAATTATTATTAATTTTTTTCCTAATACCATTTCACATAGAGGTGTCCCAAATTTCAAATTTTATGACATTTTCATGGTAACATCAGGTTATCATTAGTACAAAATTGGTTGAAACAGTGTGTACTTACCTGGAGTTCCAGATTGAGCAACAGCCAAAGCCTTGCGGACTGTAGGTACAATGTCTCGAACACGCTTAATGGAGCCACAATATTTACATAAAGGTTTGAATAAGGACATCTGATCAATGTCTTGTAGAGCTCCGCGACCCTATTAACAGGCATTATATAAACAAAAATAAAATTTTCATTAGGGGCATTAAAAAAAACAATAATCAATAAGGCTATAGTTTCAATTACAACAAGCCCATAGCCAAGAACACCCCCACCCACTTCTCTAGAAATATTTTTATCTAGTTTAGCTATTAGTATTAACTCCAAATAATTACAATTTTCATTTTTTAAATTATTAGAGTGCCAACAATGTTGGGGCTTAGGTGGATGTTGACTCAAAGTCTCCTTGGTAAAAAATTAGAACCCCTTTTAGAAATCCTCTCAATTCAATTCAATGAAAAAATGGAACTTGGACAGCATTAGTTACTTTTATATTGATAAATCATTTGCCTTAAAAAATAAATTTTGTTTTCATCAAACATTTCCATTAAGTCTGACAGACAAAATAAGAATGAACTAGCAATCAAGAAGCAAAAAAAATGCAGGGGTTCCAAGTTGGAAGAAATCTCTTTTGGGAGATCTAGTTATTTAATATTTTTTTGCTGCGCATGATAATTACCAATTGGCATTGACTTTCATGACACATTCACATTAAAGAAGTAAAAATATGCAAATATCATGAAATTGCGTCAGATGGGCAATATTCTAGGATATTCTTGCTTGCCTGCTTGCAGGAGTGTGGTAAGCCATACCAATTTCCAGGAGACTCTCGCGACTTCCGGGAGACTTAAGGCCAACTCAGACAGCGTCGTACGACGCAGCCCGACGCGATTTCTTGTCGCGTCGGGCCTGTGTGAGTTAAACGCAGACACAAATTTTGCGTTGGGGGCATTCTCGTCGCAGAATATTAAACATGTTTAATATTTCTCACGATGGCTTAAGACTGTTCCCGACGATAAATCGCATCGGGCTGCGTCATACAACACCGTCTGAGTTGGCCTTTACTGTAGGACCACTGAAGATGACTACATCTCCTTGTTTATATTAAACATGTGCTTTTCTGAATTCATATGTTTAGTAATAACTACCCTACACAGTTTCCAATAAAATAAGGCTGGTGTTGCACAAAATATTATTATCCCTATACCTTAAGTAAGTTGGCTGCAGCACCTCCCATTAGCAGCACAGGCGATTCTGCCATCTGAGCATTCTTAACAGCAGTAATTGTGTTTGTTAGACCTGGACCAGCAGTAACTATGGCCACACCAACCACACCAGACAACCTTGCAACTGCATCAGCAGCAAAAACCGATGTCACCTATTGGAAAATAACAATTTTTTTTATTGATATATTCAATAAGGCATTCTATTTTTCCATAGCATTAACTTGATGAAACAAGAAGCCTTCTCTACACCCCAATTCCAACTTTAAAAAAAAAAATGCACCTCATGTCGGACATCCACTACACGAATGCCACTCTTTTCCGATGCTACAAGAACAGGAGATATGTGTCCGCCACACAGAGTGAATAAATACTTTATGCCATGTTCTTTGAGGACTGCTGCAACTAGTTCACCTCCATTGCGAGAAGAATCTGCATCCGCCTAAGAAATAGAAAAAGAAGTTCTTTTAATCCTAATCTCAATTTGATTTAAAAAAATTAGTAAATTAAAAAATTCCATGTTTTAAATTACAGTCGTGTCCGATCACCAGCTGTCACCCCACTCCCCCCCAATAGATACAAAATATTAGGTCAAATTTTCATTTAATCAATTTCAGTGACGTATCTAGATCCAGTAGTTTTGAACAGGGAATGCATGGTTAATGGGGGATGCGTAAAGGTGGGATGCTCTATAATTGAGGGGCACTGGCACATAAAATGAGGTGGTAGGCCTAAGTGATTTTTCAACTATGTGTATAATTATTTTGTTTCAAACATTTTCAATGGAGCGGCGATTACTGGCAGGGGGGTGCGAGCTTTTCAAGGGGGAGATGATGGTGGACGTGTGATACGCCACTGCCAGGTACGTGCAAGACGTAGCCAGAAGAAAATAGCTAAGTTATAGCAAATTTGAATCCGAAGGCGGTGAAAACGTTGTTCAGTCAAGAAATTTGCCAAGTTAAATATTCGTAAAACTGGATCCTTTTTCTTTCGAAATGGCACTGTAAAGTGGCGTCCACTCGAACTGACTGGAATAATGCTTGCAGTTGCATTCACCCCTATTGACTGGTTCCCCTTCAAACATATACACCTGTTACTGTAACAATTTTAAAAAGTCAATAAAACATCAATTATCAAAACATTCAACAATCCAATAGACCCAGCCCAGTGTTACAGGTCGACCCAGATAATGACAATGTAGTACAACAGTAGGCCTAGACCTGATGACATCTTTTTTGCAAATGAAGTAGGCAGCTAGTAAGCCTGCTACTAACTAGGCCCTGGTTGGGCCTCTAACTTATGTACTAATTAACCTTATGGAAAAGTTGAAAAATAAGTCCAAATTTGGACTCCAGAAACGCTATTATTAATACAACTAACAACCCACAAGCTGCTAAAATATACTCAATCATTCTCTTGGTGCAATATGAACAGCCAACAGCAGAAGAATATGAAGAACAGGTTTTCCTCAATTTTTGACCTCTGTTCAGTTTTTCAGCACATCCATTTCTGCAAGGGAACCTTTACAGTAAAGAAAAAGTTGAATCGTGTGTAAAAATTAAAAATATGATGTATTAATAATTAATTATTTTATAAAATATTGTATTTGAAGTAAGTAAATAAAACTTAATGTATATAATGCTTTAAATTGTATAATTAAGAAACATTTACATAAATTATCACCCTACGAAAATAGTCTAGTCATTTGTAAGGGCAAAGGTTAATTCGTTCTGAATAAACAAATCTTCCGGTGTTTTTCACTCTCGAAAGGAAAGTGTTGTTGAAGGGAGGCAAATAGTTTTGGTCACTGTTATCATTAGAAATTGACTTTGAGGGCTTGTTATGATTGTATAATGTCGATGAAAAAGTCGTTCAGGGTTAGCCATAAAGTCGAGCCACCATATTCTGTTATTGTAGAATCGACAGAGATCGATGAATCTTTACTTTTGGAATCGGACGTCGTTGCAATTTTAGGTGGGTGCGACGTTGCTGTAAATTAGTTTGTGGCTGACCAGACAGGGTAACTGAGTTGAGTTGAGCTAAACATCCAGCGAAGCTATTAAGGAATGGCCTAGGCCTAGCACAACCTGGTTATGCACATGATTTCTGTTTTATTTGGTGTTGACATCTGCCAAGCTTATTATTAGTGAAGTTTGTGTTTCATCACTTTGTCTTCATCTTATGTGTGTGTTGTTGACTTTTAATAACGAAGTGTTGATGGTGGTGTTATGAATAATTTGGTTGTGGTACAGGCCTAGGCCGATCATTTCGGCCGCCAATCGTTTCGACCGCCGTGCCAAATGTATGGAACGCCAAAAAGGCCGCCGAATACACAACATAATTGGCGCGCCGTACTTTCTATTGTTAAAAATTTGGAGGCCGAAATGAGCGGCGGCCGAAATGGTCTGAGACTGGCCTAGGCCTTTAGGAAGGCTTATATAATGGCTTAATATATTCCTCCATGGGCCTACTTTACAGACAGACCTTACTTTAACAGCCTGCTGTGTGTGTTCCTCTCTCTTTAGATATAGAAATGCAATTCCTGTATATTTTTTATTTTGGGTTGAAAGTTCAGGAGGGGGTGATGACACTAAAACAAGTACTGTACATTATGTTTTTTTATTTGGGCTTATTTGCAACAAGAAAATGTTTATAATTGCAAATTGGTATTATGAAAATAAATTATATATTCTTTTCATTTTCAAACACCTGTTGAAGCTGGCATTACTGCCACCAAAAGCTTGTGTCTAATCAAATTTTACATCCTTAAAGTTAGTTGACCAGAAGTGTTGGGTGACGCCACACTCACTAGGGCTATCAAGCGTCAGAATTCTAACATCAAATACGTCAAAGTCTCACGAAATTCCGCCTTTTGGCTGCGGTGAAAAGCAAGAATATGTGTATTAGACCCCGTAAATGTGAAAAATTAGCGGTTGGAACATTGAATGTTAGAGGAATTAGATCGCATTTAGAGCAGAAAGACTTAGCCCTGGATCTAGAGCAATACAATGTGCAGATACTCGGCGTACAGGAAACACACCTGCAAGGCACAGGTGTCATCGACTTGCCTTGTAGTGGGAATCTCAAATACGAACTTTTCTACACGGGATCGGACAACAACTCACACCATGGAGTCGGTATTGCTATAGAGAAGGGTTTGTGTGCAAAATTTAAAAGTTTTTCTGATAGAACGTGTATGGCTACTTTTAGGATTGATGAGAAAGCAAACAAGCCAAGGTATGTTCAGCGAGCGAAAATCAGCCGGTACTAAGGGAACAATACTATGACGAGCTCGAAAGCATAATAAACAGCGTTAGTAGTAGAAGCTTATTAATCATCGCGGGGGATATGAACGCCAAGACCGGGTCGGGGTACCATAATGGTTTTTCGCTTTGTATGGGTAAATATGGAAAAGGCGAGCTCAACAGTAATGGGATAGCATTGTTGGAGATGGCATTAAGACATAAGCTCACACTTACCAACACCATGTTTCAACACAAAATGTCTCATCGCACAAATTAGCGGGGACTTAGCCGGGGATGTAATTTACAAAACGGTTACGTGCATGTGAAAGTACCGGCCACCTCCCAACAATGCGGGAGCATAGTTTTAATGTACATCCCCGGCTAAGTCTCCGCCACCTACAGTACTGCCGTGAAATATTTTGTAGTCCCATAAAAATGCCCCGCTAATAAATGATTGGATGCTAAAGCCTACTGTAGCAAACATACAGTGCGAGACAAAAACAATTTGAAGGTCTAGCCTATCGGTCTAGCTAGCCGATGTCTGAATGGGAGAAGCGTGTGAGAGCTAGACCAAAGAGATGATCTTGCTTAATGGAAGCACTACAAATGCGTATCATTAAGCAGATTTCTATGGAAGTAACTCACCGTAATGCTACTAAATTATTTAAGTGGTGCTGAGGGCTGGCAGGCCGTTTCCGACCCTTAATAGCCCCTCTTTTCTTCTGGGATCTTCTCTTAAACTGTGTGGTACTTTCAGCTTCCACGACGTGGGAAGGAAGAGCATTCCATTCGTTTACCACCCTTTGGGATAAATAGTGCTTCCTACAATTTAGTCGAGCATAAGGCTTTTTTAACTTCCAAAAATGACCTCTAGTAATGGAATCAATTGCCAAATCGAAAAACAGATCCCTATCAACATCCTCTTTCCCATTTAATATTTTATATGTCTCAATTAAATCCCCCCTGATTCTTCTTAGTAGTTAAATTAAAGGCTATGAGACATTCTTCGTAATTTACATTTTTTATACATTTAGGAAGTTTGGAAAAGTACGTATTGATTGATCATAGAAAAAGAAAATTGATTGATTGACAACTGCGTGTTAGTCCCTGGCTCAGTCCCAACCAGTGCCCCGCTATTACTTTCAATTCTTGATTTAATTAAATTGCTTTTTTACTTGCTTTCTTATTGTAGGTACTTCAGAATTAGATTCACTGAAAAAAAAATATGAAAAAGTTATTGATGCTTATGGCTGCCTGGGTATTCTCCGACTCAATACAGGTAAAAGTATATCCAAAGTCTCAAATTATATGAATATACAGTACATAACATTAGTAGACAAAGTTGGTCATTTTCTTGTCATTCTTCTTACTGTACCCTCAGGATTTAATGTGAATGCAAGTAGCACAATAAAATTCAAATTCAAAAACTTTATCTGTCCAAATTATATAAAACATACAATTGGAAATTTGTTGTTTGATACACTATGTAAAATTGTGAAACATGTTTATAATGAAAAGTCTAACACACAAAGGAAAAAAAAAACAATATTGCAAGTTAAAGGATCATATTCAATAGAACAAGTTAAAAGCAAATAAAAATTTAAAAAGTTAAAACCTACATTTAGAACATTGTGTAAAAATAGATTTTAAGTGCAGAGTTTCTTTAGTGTTTTCATACACACGATAAACAGGGGAAATGATTTTTCCTTGGATCCAACCCTGAGGAATATGAAAATGTTGATTTCATCTCCTTATATGAAGACTTTCTCTTTTTATAGGAGATGAAACTGTTCTGTATGTTGTGATGGTGACTGGGATCATATCTGTGGGTAAAATTGGTGCATCAGAAGTGTTTCGAATAACTGCTACATCCTTCATCTCACTAAGAAATAATCAAGCAGACGAAGAACGTGTAGCAGAGGTACGGAAGCTTCTCAACTCTGGAACATTCTATTTCGCTTGGTCTGCCTTAGAAGAAACATTTGACTTGAGTTTGTGTGCACAACGGCAACATCAATCTCACAGCACTGACAACCGCTTTTTCTGGTTAGTATTGTATATGTGGCACAGACAAGCCAAACCAGTCGCTCGTCGCAAAATAGATTTTTAGTTATGAATACAGTGTTAAAGAAAATGAGGGCTATAAAATGGTAAAAGAATAATTTAATCCAATATTTCATTATGAAGTTATAAGCATTTAAACATACAGCTGTTTAAAGATCAATATTTGAGAAATCAGCCTTTAAAGTTTATAATTTTGAGCATTTCTCAGGCAGAAACAATCACCAAATTGTTAAAATTTGTTGTTTTAAAATTGAAAATGGGGTGAATAGAAGCATATCATGATGTATAGATATTTAAAGGCTAATTTAGTGCAATAAAATAGATTTCAAAAATGTTGACATTTCAGCATGTTTTGACAATTATCTCTGAACCACGATTTGCGACCAGTGACCGGTTTGGTTTGTCTTTGCCACATATGTTTAATGCCATAGTATAGTATTTTCATTTCTAATTTGCAAGTAGCAAGTTAAGTTGCAAAGCAGTATTAAGGCAGAGGTGCTGGAACTACAGGCTAAACATTGACGTTGTATCAAGATGCCCCTTGCCTAGGGTTTAGTTGGTAGAACCTAGTCATCTCCCATAAGGACTTAAAATAGAGGTCCAGTGTACACATCTGGCTCATGTGCACTTCAAAGAACTCAATTGCATTTTTTGAAAATAGTAGGAAGTTACACTGATGCTATTCATTTCAGCCCTAGCCATTGAGCATAAAATAAATAAAAATATAATTTAATTGACGATTATAAAACCAAGGTAAAAAAGTAATAGAGGATGCGCTATGCTCCCATTTTAGTACGTTCTCATAATTAAGACTCCAGTATGTAAAGCTTGGTTTCCATGTAATCGCTACAGGTACACACTGTCGCCGAGAGCTTTTGCGGATGCTGATTGGTCGGTCAAATCATGGAGCCTTTCCGATTGCAGCGAGCATCTACGCAGAACAAAAACTTCACTGGAAAAACTGTAGTGACAGTGTAGGGATTGTATGGAAACCAAGGTTAATTATACTGATGCATGCCTTTGAATGTTGTAGGGCAGTGGTAGGCATGATATGATAGACTAAAACATGCCAAAAATGAAGTTTTACTTTTTAATCAAAATCATTGTTAAGTAGGCAGCAGGTTCACAAAATAAGGTATAAAAGTAGTGTCTTGTGTTGATGGTTGTTAAAGAAGTCCCCACCTATAGTTGCCACTTCCCAGGTTCTCCATGCCACAGGTTAATGATGTGGTAAAAAAAAAAAAGCCACCCCCCCCCCCCCCCCACACACACACACACAAACGCAGACTCAAAATGCTCTGGTATTATGCTTTTATAACACTAGTTTGTACCACTACTGTGGCTTTTTTTCAGGTATGATATATTCTATAGTTAACATGGCCCCTTTAGTTTTCTTGTCATGTATGATTTGTTTTACCAATTGTAGCAAATTAAAATGACAATAGTTGAAACTAGTTGTTATTTTATCTGTAATAGTCATTTCCTCCTGATAGCAGGGTATATTTTCAATCAGGAAACATTAGGAAAAGGCAAATACTTTAATGTTGCTTTCAACTATGAATATCCTGGTATCACTACTTATCCTGTATATTAAGTGTTGCTAAAGGAGAAATCCCCCTCCCCCTCCCCCTAAAGCAGATTGGATTAAAATTGCTAAAGCCCACACCAGTTCACTGTGGAAATTGTACGACCCTCTACCCTCTAACAGCTTTTTCATTCACCCCCTTTGAATATAGATCATAGAGCCATTATACCCATCATATCTATAGACAAATCAATAGATACCAAATCATGCAAAAGTTTCCTATACTCAATATGTGAGTCTTATAGGCCATGGTCAATAGTGATTGCAATTTCCTTGTATAATTTTTGTTTTATTAATATAGATGGCACTTTTCCTATTTACAAAAATCACTTAAACAGGTGTGATCATTTACTGCTCTATGGCTTCTATTTTTTCCCTATATCATTACTATTTTTCACTGACTGTAACAAAAGATGTTACTAAGTACATTGTGTGAAATGTTATTTGTCTGTTTTAGTCATTTCCTCTTCTGAAGAATATTTTATCACCCAGGAAACATAGAGAAAATTGGAATCCAGCTCTTCAAAAATGCACAAGATGAACATTGTCATATTTTAAGAAGTGAATCAACAATTAACTTCAATAAACACTTGTACCACTTATAATTTATTAATTTTGTTTTGTCATGTTGAGTCCTTCGAAACAATTGAAAGTTCCTTTGTGTTCGTTTACAAAAATTGATAACTCAGGTTTTAAAAACCCACTAAAGATCCTAATATCTCAAGGCAATAGTCAACATATATTGTGATTGTAATCTTCTTTATGAGGGTGAAAACCAGTAAGTTTCAAACTCTGCTTTCCACTGGGTGCCCCAAAATAAAAGCCGTATTAAATAACACAAGAAAGATATATGCATACATGATATTCTACATTTATAAACCAAATCTTATTATGAGGCTTGGTATTGGATTTGAACCCAGGACCCTTGGATTGGAAGGCAAGAGTGCTGCTGGATGATTTTGGTAAAACTATTTGCTAATAAAAAATAAAATTTTATTTTCATTTCCCCCCCCCCCTCCTCTAACGACCTTAAAAAAGTAATTTGCAAAAGCAAGGCAAGACTTTCTATACCTTGTTTAGCAAACTCGCCAGCAAAAAACTGGAAATTTCAGAAAAAAAGTAAAAAGTTTTTCTTTATATTTATTACGCCCGCTGCTGCCTTGAAATCTCTAATAAATTCTTTCCAATTTATGTAAATTTGAAGCATTTAAGCAATATTACACTGTTTACATTCAACATTAATATTTTATTTTAATTTTTTCCTCCGTTGGGATTTTTTGGCAAAACTATTTGCTAAACAAGAAAACAAAATATTATTTTAATTTTTTTTCTGCCAACCTGCCCAAAAAATAGGTTCGCGAAACAAGAAATAAAAAGAGCCTTGGCCAAGGTATCAAGGTCCCACAAAACAACAGTGTTAAAATAAACTTGCATTTGTGGAACAACACCATTCGCATTAACATGAATTAGTCATGTGTTAAGAATAGTACAGTCCAGTGATAACAGTATACATGGTTTACTATTTGGAATTTGTTATAAACCATGTTCCTTGATGCATGTGATAAAGTTCTACATCATCATAAAAATCTCCTTTGTTACTTTTCAGGAATCGAACATTACACCTTCACTTGACACGGTTCAACGTTGACTGCTCAAAATGGCTCATCAAGGCCATGTGTGGTGGCGTAGAAATGAAGACAATTTACTGTGGTACGCAGCTAGCTAAGGCGTGCATCATCTCACGGCTAAGCTGTGAGCGTGCAGGGACGCGGTTTAACGTGAGAGGAACAAACGACTTTGGACATGTTGCTAATTTCTGTGAAACTGAACAAGTATGTATACGCCAGTTAAAAAAATTCTCGTGCTCTGTTAGATTTAGCTTAGATAAAAATAAAATTGTAAAAATAGATATTGTAGATTCAAACCAATTTTCTGGTAGAAATAGTTTCAATTGCACAGCGTGTGTTTGCCGTAAAAATAGACAAGAGTGGCTAACCTTATTCTTTTTCTAATGTTATGCTTGAAGAATTCCACAGATACTTTTGTGATTGGATTCCAGTCCATAATGCATTTGTATTGCAGTACATTTTAGAATCAACTTTTATCAAAGTTAAACAACTCAAATACTGTACATCTCTATTGCTAAAATTTTTGTTTGAGGCAGAAACACTTCAAAGACAAATTACACTTTTATGCCTGGCAAATTATAATCAACATGTCATACAAGGTATAAATTGGATGAATCATTTAAAACAATGATAATAGATTTCATGGGCAGATCAATGTATAGTATACTGTATGCATCAAAGTCAAATGCTGCTCTACCTATTTTATGTCAAAGTTTAAATTTAAAAGTTTAGTACTTGGAGCAGATGGAATAAACATCCAAATGCCAAATTCTTTAAATAACACACTAACCTAATTTTAACTAGTAATGCTTGTGTAATAGTTAATAACATGTTGACAATACAGTATATGGCCACCGTTTTATGGAAGGAACTAGTGAAAGACATTAATTGCTTTCTTTTTGCATATAAAAGTATCATAAACAAATGGAGGTGTCCAAAGTTTTATTAATATCATTTTTGTTTGTTACACACTTTACAGTATTAAAGATCTAGTAAAGTTATTTTTAATCTTATGGTTTTGGTTTTGTTATTGGTGTAATAACTACAACCTTGAAGTACACCCACTGAGTGAAAAATATGCATGGGATTTTGATATTACTATTAGCAAGCTTTCAAGTTTTTGCTCAACGATGTACTGTAACCCTAAAACAGATTTACTTATTCATGACCATCCTATGTTCTCTGCACAATGTGGATTCGGGCTAAAATGCGTCCTAGAATTCAGGTGACTAACGAGAAATCAACATTCTTACATGACTTCTCAGTAACATAATTATGTTCTGTAGGTCCTACTGTAGTCTGGCAATAAAAAGCTTCCTATTTTATTCCATACAACTGCTCTAAACTATTTTTTCTATCATTGACAGTCCTGAAATTGTTAAAATTAACTCAACCCAGTGCCGGATTCAGTAGGGGAGAACTGGTCCGCCCCATTCCCCACCCCCCTTTCCAAATTTATCAAAATTGTTTTAAGAAATAAGGAAAAAAGACAATTATTCTTGGTTGTGTAGAGAGGTGCTATAATCATAAATTTTCTTACCTCTAGACCCCATCTGGGAAAGTCCCATTAAGTCCCATTATTTTGAATTCCTGGATCCGCCATTCTGTTTAATATCATTACTTCAGGATCATCATTGTTTATAATTATAGTTATCCTTTCCACTTTCATTTACAGTACATTGTAATTTACGTAGTCTATTTATCTTTCGTATTCATTTCGTTTTATTTCACTTTTGTATCTTCATTTATTTGTTGAAATAAATGAGTTGATTCAGTAACCTATAGATTGGTTAAACTCTCAAATGTTGTATTTAAAAATTTATGATGCTCTCAGCATGGAAACGTTCCATATAAATTCTCAATAAGAACAAATCAAAAAAATTATTGTGTTGGACATGGCCAACCGACACAAACGTACAAAATTGAGGTTCGGCATTTTAGGTTTTTTTTTTTACTACAACAAAAAATATTTTGTGTTGTTGGTCGGTAGACGATTCGACAGGGTTATGCGATCATTCTGCTCTTCAGTACAGATTTTAAAATGGTCTTTGTTGTATTTTTGTGTATAATCTAGTTTTTAGGCAGAGACACATTATTGGTAAAAAAGAAAAAAAACATTTCCTACCGATCCACCCATATTTTGGATTTTCCCAAAAACGTGGCCAACACAAGAATTTTTTTTTTTTTGACCTAATTTCTAACTTCTTCAAATAATTTATTGTGTGTCATATGCCTGTTCATCCATGAAACAGGAAAGACTCTCTTTGAACACTTAGTAGTAGCGAAGAATGACTTGAGAGCATACCTACTGTATTATCAAGCATTATCAGAATTTATGGACTTTATTTCCTGGAACTGAAAATGTTGATTTGTTTGTGACAAATTTAATGTATTCTAGAAATAACTAATTTATTTTTTTCTGTTTTTCTATTTTATTTTGACTTTTCATTTTTCAATTCTTTTCATCCATTATGCCATAAAAACTAAGACAAAAACAAGTGAATGAAACCGATGAATAAAACCACTGCAATGTGATAGGATTGCCCAAAAGTAAAAAAATAAATATATTGCTGAGGTACTTTTACCTCAAGACAGTGATACAGTGCAAAAAAAATTCCAATATATAAGCATAAAAATAGATGTTTTTTTCTAAAATATCAATTACTGTTTTTTTGCATATCATATGAAACATAAAAAATACATTTAAATTTTAATAGGCCTATTAAAAAAATAAATATAATTGCAATGTAGCCAGGCAAAATATCTCTCAGAACTATAAATGCATCATGAGTCATAGTGCATTTATAGGCCTGCTTCTGAGAGTGATATTGTTTTTGTGGCACAAATTGCAATAATTAAACTAATAATGTACTATATGTATCCTTGATTTTGACTGTTTCACTCTAAAATTGAATCACCTTTCTTCCTTTTAGAACAACGAAAAACACACACAATGGCACATATGCTATATCCAGTCACAAATAAGTATATTTTTAGTATTAGTGACCAGGAAGTGTAGCAATGGTGTTGTATTTCTCAAAAACCCTTATTCCCAGTATAGAACACCAAGGATTCTAAATGATTAGCATCAACAAGATGTTTATTAATGAAATATTTATATCATTGCTTGTATTTTTAGGTGATATATTTGGATGACAAGGTGGCTTCCTATATTCAAACCAGAGGATCTGTTCCACTATACTGGGAGCAACCTGGACTCCAAGTGGGGTCACATAAGGTCAAAATGTCAAGAGGGTATGAGGCATCTGCTCCAGCCTTTGATAGGTGAGACTCAATATAGATACAATTGTGAAGCATAAGATGTTTTATATGCTTGCCTCTGTAAACTGTACAGATAAATTCCTACTGTCCTGATTTTGGCAGGATTATTCCTCTTTCACTGTCCCACTTAATCCCTGAATTTTCTCGCCTTTTGACATGTTTGGAAGATAAACAATATATATTGACCAAGTTTAAAAATAATGTAAAATTTATGTCGCACGCCTTGATACAACAACTCAAGCATGTCAAGTGCAAGACCAGCTGGCCCACCACTTGAATCTGCCTTTACACATATTGGTACAGACTGTACAATATTAAATTTGTTTGGGTTATTTCCCCACCCTCGAATGGTTGTGTCCTGCTTTCAAATATTTGGGTGTTGGAATGTCTGCACTGTAAGAGGGTTTCAGTGATAGAATGGGGTCAAACCATAGCTCTGAGCTCACAGTCTGGAGTGCCCATTTCTCCTTCCTTGGCACTTGGGCCATCCTGTGCCTATTTATTGTCCCTTGTTGAAAGAGACAATTAATGATGACGTATACGTCACACTAACCGTATGCGTTCACGTGCGAACCCTCCCTAATGCGACTAGATGCCTTACTGAATGACAAAAGTCAATGCAAAGTGAGGTTTTTGAACCCCAATATCAATGTTTCCAAGCCACAGGTAGAGCACCAGCCGCTCTCAAGCCATATTTATTGAATCTTCTAGCGTATCCTTGGTCGACAGATTTTTCAGTTCCCCTATTAAATATATGAAATAATCTTACAAGTTACATTGCATGGCATAGGGAGTGAAGATGTTTTTTAGCCATGAGAAAAAATCATTTGCTATCACAGGATATAAATTGTGGACTTAGGGATGGGAAGGCAAGCATCTTATAAACTACATCTTACCTTAAACCCACCTTTTTTTTTTAATTTTCAAATCTTGCTTTCAATTCGATATTCAAAACAGGTTTTTGTTGATTGCAAAGTGGTTGTGATAAATCATTCAACATCAACACCTACAGTATATCAATATTCCATGAATACAGAAATGACAGTTTGTTTAATTTGCAAACCATTTTATTGATTTTTATGGTCATTGTTGGAATTAATAGTAACAGTATGGATGCATCATTTTAAAGTACATTTTGTATTGGCACTTGATATTGACAATACGCACTGTGATTTTTATGTGGACTACAAAATCTGGCATTTCCAATTTTGTCCAATGGGCTGCTTTAATGAGAACCCAGGTCTAAGCTATTCCAAAGCAGCTCTCTCACTATTACTACCATAATAATTAGTTTTCAGACTGCATTCATCATATTTTTGCCCATAAAATATATAAAAATTCTACCTTGTCCATTATTGACTATAATACATTGCCTAGCTATAAGGTATAAAAAATTCCTTACTAATTGTTAGAAAGTGCTGTAAATGCGGCCATTTTGTGCACTTTTGCGAATTCATTAATACTTAGTGTTGTTTGCTCAATCCCGTCAGGCATCTGTCCACTTTAAAAGTGCAGTATGGTGACCAGGTGATCATAAATCTTCTGGGAAACAAGGAGGGAGAGGACATGCTGAGCAAGTTATTTCAGGTAAAGTTAACTCTAATGACCGAAAGGTCCACTGATTAATCTCAGGTAAGATAGTATAATACATACTTCAAGTATCGAAATGCATGCATGGCGTGCATTTCGATACTTGGAGTATGTATTATACTATCTTGTTCTCTAATTATGTGGACAGACAGGTGGATTCATAAGCATTGATTTTGACTTTAATACTGACAACCAATCTAGTTACTTTTGTCATCTGTACTTTAGTCTAATCAAAAATGATTATTTAGTTATTTAAAAATTTTATTTTCTTATTGTTGTTTTACGTCTTATCTGATACATACTATACAATATGGGGCTTAAGTTGCCATATGCCAAAAACCAGCATCAGCGACTAAAACTGGAAAATTGACTTTATATTCATATTCTTTAAATTGTAAAGCTTTAAAATGATGTGTCATTTACTAGAATCAACTTGCTATTGCTAAAGTTGTGAGTGAAAGTATTACAGCTTCTCTGTACTAATAACCATACTGGCACATTCTAATGCTAACTACTCAGTTTAAAATTTACTAACAGTACACTAGCTTTGGGGATGGTAAGCCTCATATACAGTATGCTACATTGTCTTATAATTTGTTCTTGTCTTAATTACTTAAAAATAAGAATGATTGTATACTTAATTAACTTCTTAGAATCACCACAAGGCTTCATCCCATTCCCAAGATATACCACATATCGTATTCGACTATCATCAGATGATGCGCGGTGGTAAAGTCGACAGCTTACAAAAAGTTCTCATGCCGAAAGTCTCCAAGTACGTGGACAGTTTCCAATTCTTCGCTTGTGATGGAGATGATGTGAAAATGTAAGTAAAACTCTCCTTATTATTGATGTGATATTTTATTGTGAATGAGTATTATTTCTGTCATATTGATGATGTTAGCAGTGGAGTCTTACAATAAGCCATTGCACACATTTATTGAATGTTTATTTTATCACTGAGCTTTTCTATTATGTAACTTTTTTCACAACTTCTTTCTTGTGGATTGAATTTCGTTTTGAACAAAAGGAAAGGCTGAATATGTTTTTTTCCAGTGCGGTTTCTGCCTTGCCTGGTGATAAGGCCAAATATACATCATGCTCACTCTCATGAAGAAACAGCATAGCTAGAAAGAGACTATTGACCTATTAATATGCACATGCTTTTTAATCATTAATTTTAAATTAGAAGGATTAGCCAATCAGAAGGTGATTTGAATGATTGACGGGATAAGGCTGGGGTATCATAATTGAATGTAGCAAAATGGCCTTGTATATATACAACACCTATCATTGTGTACGACATTTTATAGCATAAGATATTACCTAGTGGAGCCTTTACAAGGTGTGAAATTAGGAACCATCAAGCATTATGTCATACAATATTCTGGAGGCAAAAGTTTGAACTCAAGAAGAAAAATTTGCCGATAAAAGCAATAAAAGAACATCTTTGATTTTTTTTTTAAATAAATGATATTTAATTACTGTACTGATATCCAATTTTTTTTTTTATTCTTCTTCTGTTAGGCAACAGACAGGCTGCTTTCGTGTTAACTGCATTGATTGCTTGGATCGGACCAACGCTGTTCAAACATTTTTTGGAATGCAGGTGTCTAGGTTTTTTTTCTTTCAAGGAATAAAAAGAGGAATAAATCAAATCTGTCTAAAGTTACTTAAATCAGATATCACCCAGGTTCCTGTGCAATATGAACATTAATGAAATCACATTGATAAGATTCATTTATTGTCATTATTCAGTTATATTGAGATGTATATAGCAAATACAAGCCAAACCAGTCACTCCTTACAATATTTATTTATAAATACTAAGTTTTTGAGTAAAATGAAAGTTATAAAATAATAACATAAACATTTAAATCCAACATTTTGTTATGAAGTTACATGATAGTAAGAGCAGTTTACTGTTTGGGCTTATGCCTATTACTTACGCTTGGCAAGAATATTGTATGTATACTTTTTACTTTGCCGAATAAATATTATTATTATTATTATTATTATATAGCTGTTTAAAGAACAGTATGTGAGAAATCAGCTTTCGAAGTCTACGATTTTGAACTTTCTGACAATCACTAAATTGTTTTAAAAAAATTATTTTAACAATTGAATATGGCGAAAATAACAACATAGCACAATGTATATATATGTAAATGTTATTTTTAGAACAGTAAAATAGATTTATAAAATTCCAAATTGTTGTGCCAATTATCTCCAAAACACAATTTGCGAGGAGGGACTGATTTGGCTGGTCTTTGCCACACAAACAAAAAAAGCAGCACATTAGATTGATAGTACTATAAGTGTATAGTGTAATTTAATTTATAAGAAATGGTGATGTGTTTCTTCTGCAGATGCTTCAGAAGCAGATGGAGAGTCTTGATATGTCGAGCAAAGCCCAGTATCAATCTCGACTTGAGGAAGTTTACAAAACAATGTGGTCTCTAAACGGAGATCATGTGAGTAAGATCTACGCAGGTACCGGGGCACTAGAGGGAAGAACAACAGTAAGTTGGCCATTAATAACGACTGAAGCTTGTACAAATCATAATGCGAACATTTTATGTAGCATTCATTACACAGGTGTTGTAAACAAGATACACAAGGCATCTGTAGGGTCTCACAAAGCCTCTCAACCCGTGGGTGCTCTAGGACCAACCGGGGGTGAACCATTTCTGGCGCTGAGCAGCAGGGTCCAGAGACAAAGCCCTGGCGCCTAGAGAGACTTGGCTCTTTTCAGACATTTTTAGGCTGTTCTGAGACATTTTAGATTGTATCATACCCAAAAAATATTTCATCATGGGGTGAGATTTTTTTCTTTGGTTCCAGTGAGTTCAGGCCTAGGCCACCTACCCCACCACTTGTACTGCTACTGCTTTGAATATTCAGTATTTACTTGGCATACTTTGGAGGTGGCATACTAATGGATTATTGTTTATTTATTTATCCATCTAATCATGGAGGAATTCCTCAATGATCTAATTGAGTATTAATCACTAATTGGAACATTTCATGATACAGTGATTTAGCAGTCGATGATGATATTGCTGAATATATCAATTCCTAATTATCATGATAATATTGTTGTTAAAGGCTGGCAAATTGAGAGATGGTGCACGCTCAGTGACCCGAACAATACAGAACAATTTCTTTGATGGCAGCAAACAAGAAGCAATAGATATTTTGTTGCTAGGTAACTCACTAGTTGGCAAATTAGCAGACAAAGCAGGCAATATTTTACCAAGAGAATATTTACATTGTAAGTATGTGACTTTCAGTTTAGTATTTTATATCTTAGCGGGCAGCAAGTGTAGTCAATTAAGGATTAAAATGTGCTTCTACGTCAATGACTTGTTGACACAACCATTGAAATCAGCGACATTAACCAAAAGTTGTAGTGGTGCTACACTACCTGTGGCTGATAATAATTTGACCTGAATGATCTGAGGTCGCATTAGCTGTACAGTAGCATTTAACGTTCGGCGTAATATGTTAACCTCGCCTCGTCTAACTAATCTAGGTTAGGCAAAAAGATTTGCTTACTGTAAGATAACCCAGAAAAGTGTTCAAACCTCACTACAGTAAGTTGTGTTATATCTGTCAGTCTAATAATAATGCCCGGCTTTAAGTACCCGTTTGATGCCTGGATTGAAGGAAGTACTCTATATGAATGCAGTATATTGCCCAAGGGCGACCAAGTGGTCCACGTTGGATTAGAATCCTAGACCTTTTTGTTTGAAAGCCCAAAGCATAATAACGCTATGCCATGTTTCACCTTTTCTTTGCACTTTTTCTAGCCTCTCCTTCTACTCTTCATGCAATGTGTGAACGTGAGCATCAATTCTCAAAGCAGACTCCCCTTCGCGTCAGTGTCGGCACTTGGAATGTTAATGGAGGAAGACATTTTCGAAGCGTGGCGTACAAGCATCAATCAATGACGGACTGGCTGTTAGATAATCATATCATAATGCAAAAAAAATTTCCAGGTCAGTATGTGTCTTACACGTAGGTTTGAGAGAGATCCTTAGATGCCCTAGCAGGGATGTCACCACGCTGGTCGGCGGTGGACGGGCCCGTCCAGCACTCAACATTTCCGACCAGGATTTACAGGCTCCCGACCACCACTATTATTTCAACAGTTTACAAATTGTAACAAAATAATTAGTTTACCTAAACAATAAGATGTGTATAATTGATAGATAAAGACAATAAGAATACAATAAATGTTTCCGTGGTTATGTTAATTGTAACAAAATACTGCACTGCCCTGCTATTCATCGCTAACTTAACAGCCTAGGCCCAGTTGAGTCATAGCGAACATCGTGGGCCCGCATGACACGGTTGCTCTGTACACATTCAAAGGTTAAAGTTGAAATCGTGACCATTCAAGTGTTTTATTATGTGATCATGGTCCGGGGCAGGAAGATTATTAAAAATTTACGAAACCTGATTTATGTTTTATTTCTTTACTTTCTTTTCATTTTGTATTTCAAGTTTTTCACTTTTAATTATAATTGATATATAATGTGTGTAAATGGACAAAAAATAAATAAATGAGTGCACATGAATCAGTGACATACACATTCATC